CAGAGACAGAGGCAGAGACACAGACAGAGACAGAGGCAGAGGCAGAGACACAGACAGAGACAGAGGCAGAGGCACATGCAGAGGCAGAGGCAGAGACAGAGACAGAGACAGAGGCAGAGGCAGAGAAAGAGACAGAGACAGAGACAGAGACAGAGACAGAGGCAGAGGCAGAGACAGAGACAGAGGCAGAGAGAGAGGCAGAGACAGAGACAGAGGCAGAGTCAGAGACAGAGACAGAGACAGAGGCAGAGGCAGAGGCAGAGGCAGAGACAGAGTCAGAGACAGAGACAGAGGCAGAGGCAGAGACAGAGTCAGAGACAGAGACAGAGGCAGAGGCAGCGACAGAGTCAGAGGCAGAGACAGAGACAGAGACAGAGGCCGAGGCCGAGGCAGAGGCAGAGACAGAGACAGAGACAGAGACAGAGGCAGAGACACAGACAGAGACAGAGGCAGAGGCAGAGACAGAGACAGAGACAGAGGCAGAGGCAGAGACAGAGACAGAGACAGAGACAGAGACAGAGACAGAGACAGAGGCAGAGGCAGAGACAGAGACAGAGACAGAGGCAGAGAGAGAGGCAGAGACAGAGACAGAGGCAGAGGCAGAGGCAGAGACAGAGACAGAGGCAGAGGCAGAGGCAGAGGCAGAGGCAGAGGCAGCGACAGAGTCAGAGACAGAGACAGAGACAGAGGCAGAGGCAGAGGCAGAGGCAGAGGCAGCGACAGAGTCCAGAGACAGAGACAGAGGCAGAGGCAGAGTCAGAGACAGAGACAGAGACAGAGGCAGAGGCAGAGGCAGAGACAGAGTCAGAGACAGAGACAGAGGCAGAGGCAGCGACAGAGTCAGAGAAAGAGACAGAGACAGAGACAGAGGCAGAGGCAGAGACAGAGGCAGCGACAGAGTCAGAGTCAGAGGTCAGAGACAGAGACAGAGACAGAGACAGAGACAGAGACAGAGACAGAGGCAGAGGCAGAGGCAGAGACAGAGACAGAGACAGAGACAGAGGCAGAGGCAGAGACAGAGACAGAGGCAGAGGCACATGCAGAGGCAGAGGCAGAGACAGAGACAGAGACAGAGACAGAGGCAGAGGCAGAGACAGAGACAGAGACAGAGACAGAGGCAGAGACAGAGGCAGAGGCAGAGACAGAGACAGAGACAGAGGCAGAGGCAGAGACAGAGGCAGAGACAGAGGCAGAGAGAGAGGAAGAGACAGAGACAGAGGCAGAGACAGAGGCAGAGGCAGAGGCAGAGGCAGAGTCAGAGACAGAGTCAGAGACAGAGACAGAGACAGAGACAGAGGCAGAGGCAGCGACAGAGTCAGAGACAGAGACAGAGGCAGAGGCAGAGGCAGAGGCAGCGACAGAGTCAGAGGCAGAGACAGAGACAGAGACAGAGACAGAGGCCGAGGCAGAGGCAGAGACAGAGACAGAGACAGAGGCAGAGGCAGAGACACAGACAGAGACAGAGGCAGAGGCAGAGACACAGACAGAGACAGAGGCAGAGGCACAACAGAGGCAGAGGCAGAGGCAGAGGCAGAGACAGAGGCAGAGGCAGAGGCAGAGGCACATGCAGAGGCAGAGGCAGAGACAGAGACAGAGACAGAGACAGAGACAGAGGCAGAGACAGAGGCAGAGACAGAGACAGAGGCAGAGGCAGAGTCAGAGACAGAGACAGAGACAGAGGCAGAGGCAGAGGCAGAGGCAGAGACAGAGACAGAGACAGAGACAGAGACAGAGGCAGAGGCAGAGGCAGAGACAGAGGCAGAGGCAGACAGAGACAGAGTCAGAGACAGAGACAGAGACAGAGTCAGAGACAGAGACAGAGGCAGAGGCAGAGGCAGAGACAGAGGCAGAGACAGAGACAGAGACAGAGGCAGAGGCAGAGACAGAGGCAGAGGCAGAGGCAGAGACAGAGGCAGCGACAGAGTCAGAGACAGAGACAGAGACAGAGGCCGAGGCCGAGGCCGAGGCAGAGGCAGAGACAGAGACAGAGACAGAGACAGAGGCAGAGACACAGACAGAGACAGAGGCAGAGGCACATGCAGAGGCAGAGACAGAGACAGAGACAGAGGCAGAGGCAGAGACAGAGACAGAGACAGAGACAGAGGCAGAGGCAGAGGCAGAGACAGAGACAGAGACAGAGGCAGAGAGAGAGGCAGAGACAGAGACAGAGGCAGAGGCAGAGGCAGAGACAGAGACAGAGACAGAGACAGAGACAGAGGCAGAGGCAGAGACAGAGGCAGAGACAGAGACAGAGACAGAGGCAGAGGCAGAGGCAGCGACAGAGTCAGAGACAGAGACAGAGACAGAGGCAGAGGCAGAGGCAGAGGCAGCGACAGAGTCAGAGGCAGAGACAGAGACAGAGACAGAGACAGAGGCCGAGGCCGAGGCCGAGGCCGAGGCAGAGGCAGAGGCAGAGACAGAGACAGAGACAGAGACAGAGGCAGAGACACAGACAGAGACAGAGGCAGAGGCACATGCAGAGGCAGAGGCAGAGACAGAGACAGAGACAGAGACAGAGGCAGAGCAGAGACAAAGACAGAGGCAGAGACAGAGGCAGAGACAGAGGCAGAGACAGAGACAGAGACAGAGGCAGAGGCAGAGACAGAGGCAGAGACAGAGGCAGAGACAGAGACAGAGGCAGAGGCAGAGTCAGAGACAGAGACAGAGACAGAGGCAGAGACAGAGACAGAGACAGAGACAGAGACAGAGACAGAGGCAGAGGCAGAGGCAGAGACAGAGTCAGAGACAGAGACAGAGACAGAGACAGAGGCAGAGGCAGAGGCAGCGACAGAGTCAGAGGCAGAGACAGAGACAGAGACAGAGACAGAGACAGAGGCAGAGACAGAGACAGAGACAGAGGCAGAGGCAGCGACAGAGTCAGAGGCAGAGACAGAGACAGAGACAGAGACAGAGGCAGAGGCAGAGGCAGCGACAGAGTCAGAGGCAGAGACAGAGACAGAGACAGAGACAGAGGCAGAGACAGAGACAGAGACAGAGACAGAGGCAGAGACAGAGACAGAGGCAGAGACAGAGGCAGAGGCAGAGACAGAGACAGAGGCAGAGGCAGAGGCAGAGGCAGAGACAGAGACAGAGACAGAGACAGAGACAGAGGCAGAGGCAGAGACAGAGACAGAGGCAGAGGCAGAGACAGAGACAGAGGCAGAGACAGAGGCAGAGGCAGAGACAGAGGCAGAGAGAGAGGAAGAGACAGAGACAGAGGCAGAGACAGAGGCAGAGGCAGAGGCAGAGACAGAGACAGAGTCAGAGACAGAGTCAGAGACAGAGACAGAGACAGAGGCAGAGGCAGCGACAGAGTCAGAGACAGAGACAGAGGCAGAGGCAGAGGCAGAGGCAGCGACAGAGTCAGAGGCAGAGACAGAGACAGAGACAGAGACAGAGGCAGAGGCAGAGACAGAGACAGAGACAGAGGCAGAGGCAGAGACACAGACAGAGACAGAGGCAGAGGCACATGCAGAGGCAGAGGCAGAGACAGAGACAGAGACAGAGGCAGAGGCAGAGACAGAGACAGAGGCAGCAGAGACAGAGACAGAGGCAGAGGCAGAGTCAGAGACAGAGACAGAGACAGAGGCAGAGGCAGAGGCAGAGACACAGACAGAGACAGAGGCAGAGGCACATGCAGAGGCAGAGACAGAGACAGAGGTAGAGGCAGAGGCAGAGACACAGACAGAGACAGAGGCAGAGGCACATGCAGAGACAGAGACAGAGACACAGACAGAGACAGAGGCAGAGGCACATGCAGAGACAGAGACAGAGACAGAGGCAGAGGCAGAGGCAGAGACACAGACAGAGACAGAGACAGAGGCACATGCAGAGGCAGAGACAGAGACAGAGGCAGCAGAGACAGAGACAGAGGCAGAGTCAGAGTCAGAGACAGAGACAGAGACAGAGGCAGAGGCAGAGGCAGAGGCAGAGACAGAGACAGAGACAGAGACAGAGACAGAGACAGAGGCAGAGGCAGAGGCAGAGGCAGAGGCAGAGGCAGAGACAGAGGCAGAGGCAGACAGAGACAGAGTCAGAGACAGAGACAGAGACAGAGACAGAGTCAGAGACAGAGGCAGAGGCAGAGGCAGCGACAGAGTCAGAGACAGAGACAGAGACAGAGGCAGAGGCAGAGACAGAGTCAGAGACAGAGGCAGAGGCAGAGGCAGCGACAGAGTCAGAGGCAGAGACAGAGTCAGAGACAGAGACAGAGACAGAGGCAGAGGCAGAGACAGAGTCAGAGACAGAGGCAGAGACAGAGACAGAGACAGAGTCAGAGGCAGAGGCAGCGACAGAGTCAGAGACAGAGACACAGACAGAGGCAGAGGCAGAGACAGAGTCAGAGACAGAGGCAGAGGCAGAGGCAGAGGCAGCGACAGAGTCAGAGGCAGAGGCAGAGGCAGAGACAGAGACAGAGGCAGAGACAGAGTCAGAGACAGAGACAGAGACAGAGACAGAAGACAGAGACAGAGACAGAGGCAGAGACAGAGGCAGAGACAGAGACAGAGACAGAGGCAGAGGCAGAGGCAGAGACAGAGACAGAGACAGAGACAGAGACAGAGGCAGAGACAGAGACAGAGGCAGAGGCAGAGACAGAGGCAGAGACAGAGGCAGAGACAGAGACAGAGACAGAGACAGAGTCAGAGGCAGAGACAGAGTCAGAGGCAGAGACAGAGTCAGAGGCAGAGACAGAGACAGAGACAGAGACAGAGACAGAGGCCGAGGCAGAGACAGAGACAGAGACAGAGGCAGAGGCAGAGACACAGACAGAGACAGAGGCAGAGGCACATGCAGAGGCAGAGGCAGAGACAGAGACAGAGACAGAGACAGAGACAGAGACAGAGGCAGAGGCAGAGACAGAGACAGAGACAGAGACAGAGACAGAGACAGAGGCAGAGGCAGAGGCAGAGGCAGAGGCAGAGACAGAGACAGAGACAGAGGCAGAGACAGAGACAGAGACAGAGACAGAGATAATAAAGTTAATGTGTTAAAGCTCAGACCTTGTTCTGTTTGAGCGCGCTCTTCTCCTTCATGTGAGGACAGTCTTTTCCCGTCACCACAGACTTCACGTCCGACACTGGGACTGAGGGAAGAGACTTTATTCAGAGGAGCCAGATGTGTGTGTGTGTGTGTGTATATGTATACGTATGTGTTTGTGTGTATGTATGGGTGCGTGTGCGTGTATGTATGTGTGCGTGTGTGTGTATGTGTGTGTGTATATGTATACGTATGTGTTTGTGTGTGTATGTATGGGTGCGTGTGTGTGTATGTGTGTGTGTATATGTATACGTATGTGTGTATGTATGCATGCGTGTGCGTGTGTTTGTATATGTGTGTGTCTGTGTTTGTGTTTGTACATGTGTGTGTATGTGTTTGTATATGTGTGTGTGTGTTTGTACATGTGTGTGTATGTGTTTGTATATGTGTGTATGTGTTTGTATATGTGTATGTGTGTTTGTACATGTGTGTGTATGTGTTTGTATATGTGTGTATGTGTTTGTATATGTGTATGTGTGTTTGTACATGTGTGTGTATGTGTTTGTATATGTGTATGTGTGTTTGTACATGTGTGTGTATGTGTTTGTATATGTGTGTATGTGTTTGTATATGTGTATGTGTGTTTGTACATGTATGTTTGTATATGTGTGTATGTGTTTGTATATGTGTGTATGTGTTTGTATATGTGTATGTGTGTTTGTACATGTATGTTTGTATATGTATGTGTGTGTGTGTTTGTACATGTGTGTGTATGTGTACATGTGTGTGTATGTGTTTGTATATGTGTATGTGTGTTTGTACATGTGTGTGTGTATGTTTGTATATGTGTGTGTGTGTGTGTGTGTTCTTACTCTTGTCGCTGAGCAGCTCGAATGGCACCTCCCCCTGAGGAGACTCGTCCAGGTCTCCGTAGTGCAGCATTTTGTGGTTGAGGGAAAGACGACAGAACCAGAACTTCTCTGAAACACCATCAGGAACGGCCAGTTTATTTGTATCGCACAGTTTATATAAGATATTTATAGTTGCAATTAACAATTATGTTTGATTAGATCCTGAAAGGTCAATATGCAATTTTTTAAAGAGATCAGTTATTTGTCTCACAGTGGGGAAATTTCAGTGTTGCATCACAGGATACAGAAGAGTAGGAATGAGGAGCACAAACAAAAAAAGATAAGTGAGTCCTGGGTCTACAGCCTCAGTCCTGGATCTACAGCCTCAGTCCTGGATCTACAGCCTCAGTCCTGGGTCTACAGCCTCAGTCCTGGGTCTACAGCCTCAGTCCTGGGTCTACAGCCGCAGTCCTGGGTCTACAGCCGCAGTCCTGGGTCTACAGCCGCAGTCCTGGGTCTACAACCTCAGTCCTGGGTCTACAGCCTCAGTCCTGGATCTACAGCCTCAGTCCTGGATCTACAGCCTCAGTCCTGGATCTACAGCCTCAGTCCTGGATCTACAGCCTCAGTCCTGGATCTACAGCCTCAGTCCTGGGTCTACAGCCTCAGTCCTGGATCTACAGCCTGAGTCCTGGGTCTACAGCCTCAGTCCTGGGTCTACAGCCTCAGTCCTGGATCTACAGCCTCAGTCCTGGATCTACAGCCTCAGTCCTGGATCTACAGCCTCAGTCCTGGGTCTACAGCCTCAGTCCTGGATCTACAGCCGCAGTCCTGGGTCTACAGCCTCAGTCCTGGATCTACAGCCTCAGTCCTGGGTCTACAGCCTCAGTCCTGGGTCTACAGCCTCAGTCATGGATCTACAGCCTCAGTCCTAGATCTACAGCATCAGTCCTAGATCTACAGCCTCAGTCCTAGATCTACAGCCTCAGTCCTGGATCTACAGCCTCAGTCCTGGATCTACAGCCTCAGTCCTGGGTCTACAGCCTCAGTCCTGGGTCTACAGCCTCAGTCCTGGGTCTACAGCCTCAGTCCTGGATCTACAGCCGCAGTCCTGGATCTACAGCCTCAGTCCTGGATCTACAGCCTCAGTCCTGGATCTACAGCCTCAGTCCTGGATCTACAGCCTCAGTCCTGGATCTACAGCCTCAGTCCTGGATCTACAGCCTCAGTCCTGGATCTACAGCCTCAGTCCTAGATCTACAGCCTCAGTCCTGGATCTACAGCCTGAGTCCTGGATCTACAGCCTGAGTCCTGGATCTACAGCCTCAGTCCTGGGTCTACAGCCTCAGTCCTGGATCTACAGCCTCAATCCAATCAATGGGCGCTACAAAAATACATTGAATTGAAGATGAAGTAAGAATGATATATATTTTTAAACAATTATAGCCAGGTTTGGAAACATTGACTGTATAGGAAAGGTCGGTTCAACAGTTTTTTGCATGTTCTCCCTGTGCATTTACCTTGTCGTCTCCGGTTTCCCAGCTTCCTGAAGCAGCTGCCTTCACACAGACGGTTCAGTCGCTGTTGCTTGATCAGCTCCAGGATCTCAGGTTGGATCCTCTCACGCAACTCACTGAAAAACATTATGTTATGTGTGTTTCTTTAGACCAGGAAGTGAGAAAAGCTGCCGGGATTGGAAAGGATTGTGGTCCTACATGATCGGAGGGGACTGGAAGTCGTCCTGGCTCATGCGCTCGGACTGACGCAGACGCAGGATTTCGGAATAGTTCAAAGCCCGGAGTTTGTTTTTGAGTTGATCCAGAGACGACGGCTTCATGGCCAGAGCCCGAGTGATCTGCTCCCGCACCACCTGCATCACCTGCAGCCAGACCAGACCCAAGACCTGGTTTAGTGCTGGTTCAGTGCTGGTTCAGTCCTGGTTCAGTCCTGGTTCAGTCCTGGTTCAGTCCTGGTTCAGTCCTAGTTCAGTCCAGTCCCGCTTTAGACCCGCTTTAGACCCAGTCCCGCTTCAGTCCCGCTTCATTCAGTCCCGCTTCATTCAGTCCCGCTTCATTCAGTCCCGCTTCATTCAGTCCCGCTTGCTTCAGTCCCGCTTGCTTCAGTCCCGCTTGCTTCAGTCCCGCTTGCTTCAGTCCCGCTTGCTTCAGTCCCGCTTGCTTCAGTCCCGCTTCATTCAGTCCCGCTTCAGTCCCGCTTCATTCAGTCCCGCTTCAGTCCCGCTTCATTCAGTCCCGCTTCAGTCCCGCTTCAGTCCCGCTTCATTCAGTCCCGCTTCATTCAGTCCCGCTTCATTCAGTCCCGCTTCATTCAGTCCCGCTTCATTCAGTCCCGCTTCAGTCCCGCTTCAGTCCCGCTTCAGTCCCGCTTCAGTCCCGCTTCATTCAGTCCCGCTTCATTCAGTCCCGCTTCATTCAGTCCCGCTTCATTCAGTCCCGCTTCAGTCCCGCTTCATTCAGTCCCGCTTCATTCAGTCCCGCTTCATTCAGTCCCGCTTCATTCAGTCCCGCTTCATTCAGTCCCGCTTCATTCAGTCCCGCTTCATTCAGTCCCGCTTCATTCAGTCCCGCTTCATTCAGTCCCGCTTCAGTCAGTCCCGCTTCAGTCAGTCCCGCTTCATTCAGTCCCGCTTCATTCAGTCCCGCTTCATTCAGTCCCGCTTCATTCAGTCCCGCTTCATTCAGTCCCGCTTCAGTCCCGCTTCAGTCAGTCCCGCTTCATTCAGTCCCGCTTCATTCAGTCCCGCTTCATTCAGTCCCGCTTCATTCAGTCCCGCTTCAGTCCCGCTTCAGTCCCGCTTCAGTCCCGCTTCAGTCCCGCTTCAGTCCCGCTTCAGTCCCGCTTCAGTCCCGCTTCAGTCCCGCTTCAGTCCCGCTTCAGTCCCGCTTCAGTCCCGCTTCAGTCCCGCTTCAGTCCGCTTGCTTCAGTCCCGCTTCAGTCCCGCTTCATTCAGTCCCGCTTCATTCAGTCCCGCTTCATTCAGTCCCGCTTCATTCAGTCCCGCTTCATTCAGTCCCGCTTCATTCAGTCCCGCTTCATTCAGTCCCGCTTCATTCAGTCCCGCTTCATTCAGTCCCGCTTCATTCAGTCCCGCTTCATTCAGTCCCGCTTCATTCAGTCCCGCTTCAGTCCCGCTTCAGTCCCACTTCAGTCCCGCTTCAGTCCCGCTTCAGTCCCGCTTCATTCAGTCCCGCTTCAGTCCCGCTTGCTTCAGTCCCGCTTCATTCAGTCCCGCTTCATTCAGTCCCGCTTCATTCAGTCCCGCAACTTTTTCAAGGACTTTCCCCATAAATGGCAGATTTGAGATGGGACGATAGTTGTTAAGTACCGTAGCATCCAGACTGCTCTTTTTTAGCAGGGGCCTGATGACTGCAGTTTTCAGGGCCTTTGGGAATATTCCAGAATTAACCCTTTAAGCGCCAAACATTGCTCACTTAAAAGAGGCTGTATCTTTAAATCTGGAGTCAAATCTTGTTAATACTTTACACCAGTAGATGGCAGACGTGTGTGCCTGTAATATGAGCAGCATTTGTGGGCGTGGTTATATGAAAGGTTTTTGAGTAAAACGAGTTTGTGTGACAGCCTTCGCGGCACTTACGCAGAGGCGGAGAAGTGGCAGTAGTGCAGAGCGTAGCGAGAGCAGAACATAGAGAAAGAGTGTTTTATCAGTCATTCACGATGAAGAGGGCTTGTTTTACCATTGATGAAGTACTTCGTCAGGTGCTAGCTGACTCAGATTCAGAGGAGGAGGACACAGAGTTGTCCAGTGAAGCAGAAAGTGACATGAGTAGTGACAGCGAGTCCTCGCGTCATAGCCCACAATCTGCCCACAGTATAGCGGATGCTTCACCTCATCGTGGCCGGGGGGGGAGCATTTCGCGAACACTGAGCAGGGGACGTGGTCGTGGGGGCATGGGTGAATGTAGTGGGGAGAGTGGTAACAACCACGGTCGTCGTGGTAGTCGCGGGAGAAGCCGTGGGGGAAGCCGCGGGAGGAGCCGCGGGAGGAGCCGCGGGAAAAGAAACACCGCTAATGGCGCTCCCTCCCAGACCAGCGGTGGTGACAATGATGAGGATGGCTGGCAGTTCTTGAGAGTAGAGGAAGATAATCAAAAGTGGATCAGAAATTTTGAAGAGCCTGTTGGTTATTGTGGTGATAATATGACAAATTCTGACCCCATTGATTTCATTTCTCTGTTTCTCACTGATGAATTCTGGAGCCTCATTTCCACTGAAACAAATAGATATGCCCACCAGTTTTTTGAAAGAGAAACCTTGAAACCAAACTCTAGATTTCATGAATGGTATGATGTGACTGTCCCTGAAATGAAAGCTTTCATGTCACTTCACTTGTGCATGGGGCTTGTTGAAAAACCAGAAATATAGAGGACTACTGGGCAGGTTTTTGGCCAACTTACACTCCTGGCTTTGGAAAAGTGATGTCAAGAAACAGATTTGAAATAATTCTTTCTTTCCTTCACTTTGTCAATAATGAGGACCGCATTGAAAGGGGCCAGCCAGGTCATGATAGACTTTTCAAAGTGCGTCCTATAATAGCATTGATCATTCCCTGTTTTTCCGCTGTGTATGTTCCATCAAAGGAACTTTCCTTGGATGAAATGACAATCGCATTCAGGGGAAGGTCAACATTTGAAATTGTACAACCCCAAAAAACCTGATAAATATGGCTACAAAGCATTTGTGTTGAGTGAGTCCAACTCAGGTTATGTAATAGAGTGGTGCCTCTACAGTGGCAAAAATACAACGGATGAGGACAATTTAGGGGCAACACATCATATTGTCCGTCAGCTGCTTGCCCCGCACACTGGGAAAGGGCATGAGGTGTACATGGACAGCTACTACACATCACCAGCCTTAGCTATTGAGTTAGCCGCTAGAGACACCGGACTGTGTGGGACAGTGAATTGCAATAGAAGAGGGATGCCAAAGGGGCTGAAACCAGCTCAGTTGCATCTGAGAAGGGGTGATGACCCAGTGTTCATGCGGAATGATAAACTGCTGGCTTGTGCTTGGCATGACACAAAGCGTCTAACTCTGCTGTCCAACATTCATGGTAATACAGTCACCCAAAAACGAATCCGGACAAAGGAAAATGTGACTGGGTTCCGTCAAATTATGAAACCAGCTTGTGTGGACAGTTACAACTCCTTTATGGGAGGAGTTGATACAGCGGATCAACGAATGAAAACATATCTGTTTCCGCACAGATCTAGAAAATGGTACAATCGTATTTTTGATGCGGTTCTGAGCATCAGTGTGGTCAATGCACACATCATTTATTCACGCTGTAGTCCTGGTCCTCATAAACCACTGAAGGCCTTTATTCAGGACATTATGACATCTTGGCTTGAGGGCTTCTCCAAAAAGGAAGGCAAAAAAACAGGACGTCCTTCAATGGAGCAGGGCGAAATGCCACAGAGGCTCACTGAACGTCACTGGCTCTGTAACACAGAGGAACGTCCAGATTGTGTTGTGTGTTCAGATCGCACCCAACCTAAAGGCCGTCGACAAACCCAATACAGGTGCAGTCAGTGTGGAGTAGGTCTTTGTGCTGTGCCTTGCAATGAAAGATACCACACACTGAAAAACTATAAGGAGTGTCATCTTGATCAGTGAAGGTCTTTGAAAATACATTTACATATGGCCGCATACCAGCGCTAAAAGATTATACAAATTGGATCAGTGAACATATTTATATCCCAAATTCTTTCCCAAATGTTATTTCATACTCATATTGACTTTTTACTTTATTCCCTTATCTCAAACCGCGCTCAAACTACAGCGTTTTCAAAAAAAAAAAAAAAAAAAACATTTTCCAAAATGGCCGCCACCTTGTGACGTCACAATATGCAAATTAGATGACGAATCAACTTCCATCCCAAACTTTGGTTCATACTGAAGATATCTCTCATTTACAGTATGCCTTTATCTCAAACCACTTTAAAGTTATAGCCTTTTGAAAACTTGATATCAAAATTGTACATTTTCTCAAAAAAAGTCCGGCGCCTAAAGGGTTAAGGGACATGTTTACTATCTGTGTGAGTGAAGGTAACAGACTGCTCAGAACAGACTTTGGAAATCTAGTGGGTAGTACATCCAGGCTGCATGTGGAGGAGCTCAAACTGGAGATTATCTCTTGGACAGTTTGATCATTTACAGGTGCAAAGTAAGTTAGCTCAAAGAGCCTTTCTGGCTGTTGGATTGTTATCTGTGGATTGGGGACAATGGCGTTTTTGATGCCTTGAACCTTGTCATTGAAAAAATGTGCAAACTCATTACATTTACGTTTGGAAGTTAGCTCTAATGGAATTTGAACAGGGGGGTTTGTTAATCTATTAACTGTTGAAAACAGAACACGCAGATTGTTGCTGCAGCCTTCAATCATTTCAGAAAAATACCTTTCTCTCGTACTACGTAGCACCTGGTTAAACTCGCACAACTTATCCTTGAAGATCTTGTAATCAACCTGGAGGTTGGACTTGCGCCACTTCCGCTCGGCCCTCCGGCACTCTCTCTTTTGTGCCCTGACCGAGTCTGCTATAGCCCACGGCGCCTTCTGCTTATTTTTCACTATTTTAACCTTCACAGGAGCGATGGTGTCCAGAACTTTCAAAACACCAGAGGTGACAGAGTTAAACAGTTCATCTACAGTAGAATACGATGCATTCTCAAAGTTTATCATTCCCATAAATAGTTCACCCGTATTTTCATTTATGTGTCTTCTTCGTACAGTTGCAGAGTCCACTGGTGGTTTGTTAGTGAAACACATGTCAAAAAAATATACAAAAATGATCCGAAAGCGCAACATCGACCACGTTTACATTAGAAATGTTCACC